AAAATCTGAAAGCATTTCCTTTAAAATCTGGCACAAGTCAAGGATGTCCATTCTTATCACTCCTATTTAATTCAGTGCTAGAAAGTCTAGCCAGGGCTATTAGGCAAGAAGGAAATAAAAGAGGTAAAAAAGGAAAGGAAGACAAATTATCACTGTTTGCAGATGATATAATTCTATATCTAGAAGATCCAAGAAAAAAAAAAAACCTCTACCAAAAGACTGTTAGAACTAATAATAAACACATTTGGAAAAGTAGAAGGTTACAAAATCAACATATAAAAATCAATAGTTTTCCTATATAACAATAATTAATTTGCTGAAAAAGAAATCAGGAAAAATAATTCCATACACAATAGCCTCAAACAACAACAAAATACAACCTAGGAATAAATTTAACCAAGGAGGTGAAAGAGCTCTAAAATAAAAATGATTTGATCATTAAGGAAAGAAATTTGAAAGACCCCAGAAGATGGAAAGACCTCCCATGTTCCTGGAAAGGCAGAACTAATACTGTTAAAATGGCCATACTACCAAAAGGAATATATAGATGTGTTGTAATCCCCATCAAAATACAAATGACATTCTTCACAGAACTAGAAAAAACATCTAGAATACATAAAGAGTTCAAAAACTTTTCAACAAATAAAATTAATAAATGGGCAAATGAATTAAACAGACACTTTTCAAAAGAAGAAATACAAATGGCCAACAAATACAAGAAAAAAATGTTCAACATCATTAGCAATTAGGGAAGTGCAAATAAAAACTACATTGAGATTTTATCTCATACCAGTCAGAATGGCAGTCATCAAGAATACAAATAATTATAAATGCTGGAAAGGATTATAATGTGGGGAAACAGGAAGCTTTTCCACTGTTGGTGAGACTGTTAATTAGTACAATCACCCTAGAAATCAACATGGAGGCTCTTCAAAAGATGAGGCATGGAACCACATATGACCCAACTATACCACTTCTCAGTATTTACCCCGAAGAATTAAAGTAATCTTATTGCAGTGATATATGCATATCCATCTTTATAGCAGCACAATTCATAATAATCAAACTATGGAACCAGCCTAGGTGTCTATCAATGGATGAATGGATAAAGAAAATGTAATATATGTACACATATATCAGCCATAAAGAAAAATGAAATTACGTCATTTGGAGGAATATGGATGGAACTAGAGACCATCATGTTTAGAAAAATAAGTTAAACTCAGAAGATTAAGGGTCATATGTTTTCTCTCATATGTAGAAGCTATAAAAGAAAAATGAAAACAAAGTTTGGGGTGGTTCTCCTAAAAATCAAAGGGAAATCAATAGAGGAACTGGATCAAGGAAGATGGAGAGGAAGAGAGGAAGTGCTAGAGAATTATATTGTTATATTGTTATATTATGTGCATCATGAGTGTGTAACAATAAATTTCATGAGTATGCATAAGTATAATGCATCAATAAAAATGTGAAAAAATAAATTTACCTTTGGTTATAAAAAAATCAAAAAAGGAAAAATATTTCACATTTATGACAAAATATTTATAATAGCTAATACTATGATATTATAATCCTTGGAATATAAATAACAACTGAAAATCAGTGTACAGGTTAACAAAGAATAGATCTTCAAAAGGAAGAAATAAAATGTAAACAGATTATTAATTTATCATTAATTAAATAAATGCAGAAGAATGCACTAATGGAATACTATTTACCTATTAACTGGCAAAGTTAATATTCAACAGCTGTTTACTGTCCAGTACTTCACACATGGCTGGTAAGGGAATGGTAAAGGGTACTGAATTTGTTGTGAGTTATTTAGAAAGCAGAAGGTAAAATATATTCTGTAGGCCATATTTTAGGGAAATTATTGTTGGGAGACCAAAGTAATAATTCCTATGAAGCACAATTTAGAAATATTCTTCAAAATTTTAGACTGAGTCAATCTTTAGCCCATCATTCCAACTTTTATGATTTATCCTGTAAGCATGTGAAGCAGCAGATGCAGACTATTCATTGCAGTGGTACTGTTAATATTTGCACTGAACTAGGCATTAGACAGTGCCCGCGAGTAGGAGACTGTTGAAATATACTGTGGTATGTCCACATAATGGAACTCTTCTAAGAATAATAAACAAACTTTCTTTGCACAAATATGAAAGAACTCCAGGATTATTATTCAGTGTAAATAGTATGAACACTACCTTGGTACAGGGGGAAAAGAGGATAATTATATGCATTTATTACATTCCTTAAAATTCCAGAGTGAGATTAGGTTTAAATTCTTTCCACACAATATCCACAAATATGCTCTCACATCATTTAGATTAACAACACACTGGAAACAATCTAGAAGTTCTATAATAGGAAATGGTAAAGCAAATTATAATAATCTATTCAATAAAATATTAAGCTACTGATTTGTCATTTATAGTTAATTTGCAATAACACATTTTGCTCAAGCAAAAAAATGATGTAAGAAACTCATACAATATAAATTGAATATATAATAGGATACTACAGAGAAATCATAAGGCTATACTTAGTATATCTCCCAATATTAGTGATATTCTCTGTGATAATGTAGTATATTGTTTAGCCAAATGTCTATCACTGAGCAAAATAACACCACAAAAAAAGAGCGGAAATAGATGTAGGGAGACATTCTTCAGGGGCAAGGCAGAAGATCATTTTTATATTTCATTCATAGAAAATTGGAATCATAATGACTCAGTTCTTAGGGATATAATAAAAACTGTAAGAAAGTTATAGGAAAAAATAACAATTAAGAAACATTAAGTAAGTTCTTTGAAAACCTATCTAAGGTGAATGATGCCTTTCCTTATCTTCTAAGCTACATGATTACCTTTTACATTTTGTCAAATCTCTCTTCTTCCCACCAACTCTCCTAGTTCTCTCCAAAGAATAGGAAAATACAGGAAAAAGCCAGTGGGTTGGTTTTACTACAATCCACACAACTCACTATATGATACCAGAGTTGCAGCTCAATCCTGACATCCTTTATGCCCCTAGGATTGTGTTTGAGTTCACAAAAATGATGTGCAAATTCAAAAGATGTAAAGATTAATAACATTATAACTAATTTACAAGATGGGAATGCAATTTACAAGAAAATGTGGTTGTCTTGGGTGGGGAAAACAAGGGAAAGGAAGAGATACTTTCAAATATCTATAAAATAGTATCAAGAGTTTCTAATAGCATAATGGAATATTAAAAAAATTTTTTTGTAGTTGTAGATGGACAGAATGCCTTTGTTTGTTTATTTTTATGTGATGCTAAAGATCAAATCCAGTGCCTCACACATGCTAGGCAAGTGCTCTGTCACTGAGCTACAGCCTCAGCCCAGCATAATGGAATATTAAAAATGTGTTCAGATAGCATGATAAGTGGATAAAACTGAAGACGTGAAATCAAAATTTCAGCTCAAGTGTTAAACTTATACATTTGTGGAGGATACTATTTAAACATTGGTTGATTGATGTATGTATTTATTATTTGGTCAGTGCGTACCATAAGTAAGATACCAAGATAAATGTTGAGAATGCAGCAGGGCACAGAACACCTATAAAAGACATGAAATTTTAATAAGTACTAACAACAGAGTAAGATGGTACTACAGGCATAAGAGCAGCTATATCTGACCTAATCTGGAAGAGTCATGGAAGGCTTCTTGGATTATTTAATGTTGTGGTCAGACTGGAATCTGAATTCTAAATAGAAATTTGAGATCTAAAATGGAGCAGGAGGGAGCTCCTCTAGGCAGGAGCAACAGAATATGCAAAAACCCACAATTCCTGATTGCAAAATCTATAGCTGGGTTGAAGAGACTATATAATTGATACTGAAGGAGGCTGCGGTATTGATCAGTCATTATAGAAGTATAACATCAAGGACAAGTAAAATGGGATAATAATCAAAAGGAACAGTAGGACTGCTATTAACCCAAAATATTTATTGAACACCTATTATGTATCTAGAATATCTCGGTGAATAAAGCAAATAAGAGTTTCTGTTCTGATGAAGCTTATATTCTAACACAGGGTGAGGGATGGTAGGAAGCAAACAATATGAATGATATGGTTCACTAGAACATGATAAATGATATAGGAAGTAGACTGGGAGAAGGGGAAGGGTGTTTTGAGTAGAGTAGTCAGGGACTGCCTCAGTGAGTAGGTGGTGAGTGGACAAAGACTTGTAGGGGACCAGGAAGTGAGCATTGTAAATATTAAGATAAAGCACATTCCAAACTGACAGCAGAGCTAGCACAAAAGCCATGATGAGGACTTACCTGGTATGTTCTAATCAGCAGGGATACTGATGTGGCAGGCAAAGCGGTGAGTGGTATGAAATGAGGTCAAAGAGGCAACGAGGGGTGGGAAAGGCAGACTTTTGGGATCTTGTAGGTCGCTGTAAGAATTTAGTGGAGGGTTGTTTGTTCATTTCCTCCAGCCAGGGTAAAAGAAGGGAAAGACCAGATAGTCTAGCCAAGGCATAGATAACATTAAGAGCAGTGTCCTTTAGAAGGCAGCAAGAGATTAGAAAATGACCAGTCACAGGAAGAAATGATGCTGCTCTTGGAAAAACTGCTAGAGCCCGCTCAGTGTGCCAATTATGCCCATTTCTTTAGTGACTTTGGTAGTTCGAAATTGACCAAGGTGGGATATTAACACCATGGAAAGTAGCAAATGCCACAAATCTAGGTAGAGAGCCAGTTTAGCTGCATGCAGATATTTCTTCAAGGTGATGCAAAAATAAGAGAAGTTGGCTATCCCCTGTGATGTATATTAACGGAAGGTGAAGGAAGATGAAGGCAGGCCCCAATGAGCTGGTTTTGTGTGACTCAACAAGCAGGCTAGACTAAAGGCTTGAAGAAAAAATGACTGGGGTCTAAAATAACTTCTGTAGGTGGGGACTGAGGCTGGCCTTGCATGAGAAAATAAATAAGGCAGCTGCCATGCAAATGTGAGAAGAGTTGAGTTGAAATAGACCAGAAAGGGCCTCCACATCTGCATTTACTTTTCTTCTTTCTTTAATTTTCATTTGTTTGAAAGTATGGAAAAATATGCAGCCTCCTAAGACAGAAGGATTTTGAAGTTTTTTAGTCTTTGAAGGAAAATGTTACAAGCAGGCAGGACAGTTTAAAGTCTGGGGAAAGATGCACTTTGGGGCATGGAGAAAGAAAGAGTAAGGGGAAGCCAGGACTCTTATAGATTAAATAAAATGCTCAATGATGTGGCATAAAAGTACTAAATTCTACTGTAAATGTATAATGATTACTCATTATTTAGTCTTTGATAATTTAGTCTTCAAAAAGATAATTTTTCTGGGTCAAAATCATTTTTGTTTTCTTTCTTAAACAAAATAACTTCAGAGAGTATTTCTCCAGATGCGTCCAAAAGGAGAAGATTGCTGCTTCTGGTGAATCTCCTGCTTTAGCATTCAGTTGCTAAGCTGCAGGCACTTTCTTGTTCTCTTCAGCGAAGTGGAAACTTTAAGAGTCTGTAGTTTTGGAAACAAGATGGAATTCTTCCAAATTTGTATTCTGGGACATTTAAGAACTTGGATTTGACTTTACAGAATGGTTTTACATAAAAGACAAGACCAAGTCCTCATGAGTTTAAAATTTCAGGAAACTTTCGTAGATCCAAGATAAAGGCGGGGTGTAAAAACGAAAACAAAAGTAGCCAGAGTTAAAGAAACCCTGTGATTTTTATCCTCTGCACTCAAGACTGCTCCTCTTTGCTGGCTGAAACAGGTTGGTTCATTCTTTCTTTTCTAACTTGGATATAATTTTTTTAAAGTCCAAGGATTCTGTATTTTTACCTATGTAGAGGAAGGTTAGATAGATGCATATCAGTTTAATATTTAAATGAACAAAAAGAACTACTTAAAACTGTATACTTTTAACCTTAAAATGAGAATATGAATATAGCAAAAATATTTTCAGTACTAGTAGTTCTATGTAAAACATTGATGATAAAATAGGTTTTGCTGTGCTATTTTCTTTTGCTTTCTTTTACAAGCACTGTTTTTTGTTCTTATAATAGTTACAAAAACATTTAAAGACTTTCTATATGTCTGCCATAAGGATAATTTCTACAAATAACTTCTATTCCTATTGCTCACCTTTTTAATAAGATTAATCATTACTTTAAAATGCCCTGCCTTAATATCTTATATTATTTGGATATATTATTCTTTATCATCAGGCTTAAAACTCTGTGATAAAAGAGAAGAACAAAGTTCATGTTATGTTAATAATTAATTCATTACAGTGGTCTTCCAGACTGGAACTTTTCAAATAATCTTAGTGATAAAAATAGTAGTTTTAAATTTTGGTACTTGGTTTTTACAAAATGAAAACAATTCTTCCACGTGGTATCTTTCCCCAGGGGCCAGCTTCACTTTGCTCTACTCATTCAAAAAGGGTTAGCTAGTTTCAGATTGTTCTTTTGAAAATGTACCATGGTTGGCAAAATGCTTTGGAAATATGATCTTTATTATTGTTTTTGTATAATTACTTGGGATTCTTAAAAGGATAAAAATAACCAAAAGAAGATAGGAAGCCTAAAGAAAAAGCAAAAGAATGCTAAGCACTATAATAAAAACATTGAAAGTCATAAAATGCATTTTTAAAATTTGTGAATACTGTGTGAGCTTATCTTAGTACTATCAAGTATTATTAACTAACATAGTACAACAGCTTCATGTTGAAACAGGAGATTCCTGGCATATCCTCTATCCATTATAGAGTAACAGCTTTATACATGCCGGCAAAGCTTCAGTCTGACAAATACTCACTGAGCAGCTACAGTGTGTGCCAGGCACACTAACAAGGCTTCAATTACAATCACAAATCAAACAAGTCCAACTTTGGGGATCATAGAGCCTAAAGGGATAAGGCAGTCCAGGACATGTTTTCCTTGGGGTGGGATCAGTTCTTTGGAAGGTATGTCTTAGATCAGGAAAGTCTTCTGAGGCAGTAACATCTGATTTGATTGAGTAGGAATTGGCTCTTAAGGGAAGGGCGGGAAATAATGCTGGATAAAGGATTAGAATGAGCAATGATGCAGACGTGAGATGCAGCATGTTGCATGTCCACCAAATGCTGGCAAAGCAGCATATTCCTATTGATGCATGAGGATGGAGCTGGGAGTGGCACCACATTACAGTGAGAGCTTATCACGCTAGGAAGCTTGGATGGGACTTTGAGGGAAAGCAATGTGTCCTTCAGGAAAGAAGATAGCAGGGAAGTGCAGACTGGCAATTTAGAAATATAGTACTCAAATAACAATCAGAAAAATGTTTTTGACAAGATGATGAGGAGGTATACAGCAGGATCCCAGCTAGGATGATACTGTAGTAGGCCAGGTGAGAGTCACATTGCTCAGATCATGCAGGTGTGTGGAAAAGCGTGGACTAGATGGAAGAGACAGATTCAAGACAAAATTGGAAGATAAAACCAGAACATGTGGGCTGCCTGGAGATAAGGGATGAAGAGAGAAATCAAGGATTGTTGAGGCTTATAGCCTAAAGGATTAGGGGCTATAGGAGGGATGATAGTGCTAACAAATAATAGTATACCTTAAGCAAGTAGTGACTGGTTTGGGAGGGAAGTTGACTAAAGGAGTCTTGTTTTATAAAAGCCAACTATGAATCTTCAGCACAGATGCTGAGATAATTTATCTATCTTCAATTTATAAATGACATAAAAATGAGAAATGAATTTATTATTTCTTAAAATTTGTCATAGATATACATCACAAGATTGTTATATATGTAAAAATCATAACTTTTTAATTCTCTTATGTTGAAATCTGACTTAAATTTTCATGTTTTAAAAACTGTATTTATATAAAAGTCTTCAATTTTATTTTAAGATTTAATGATTAAGAACATTTCTGAAGGTATTGTTTTTCATCCCAGTGTCAATCCCAGTTCCTGCACACAGACCCATAAATTAAGGATGGGTAACTAATTTGGGGGATATACTCCAATGTGGCTCCCATTAAAGCTTTTTAAAGGGTGGCAGATTCAGGCTCACATGTTATAGCAACAATCTATTCTCTAGGAAAGAATAGAATACATGCTGGTCAAAAGCTGTTTCCTTTTAAGCAATATTAAATTTAGTATCTTGTGTTCTTTTTGCCATCTAGATTGCAGTCATGGCTTTGGAGCAGAACCAGTCAACAGATTACTACTATGAGGAAAATGAGATGAATGGCACTTATGACTACAGCCAGTATGAAATGATCTGTATAAAAGAGGAGGTCAGAAATTTTGCAAAAGTTTTCCTCCCTGCCTTTTTCGCAATAGCTTTCATCCTTGGACTTGCAGGCAATTCCATAGTTGTGGCAATTTATGCCTATTACAAGAAACAGAGAACCAAAACAGATGTATATATCCTGAATTTGGCTGTGGCAGATCTACTCCTCTTATTCACTCTGCCTTTTTGGGCAGTTAATGCAGTTCATGGGTGGATATTAGGGAAAATGATGTGTAAAGCAACATCAGCCTTATACACAGTAAACTTTGTCTCAGGAATGCAATTTCTGGCTTGTATCAGCATAGATAGATATTGGGCAGTAACTAAGGCTCCCAGCCAATCAGGAGTGGGAAAACCTTGCTGGATCATTTGTTTCTGTGTCTGGACAGCTGCCATCTTGCTGAGTATACCCAACCTGTTTTTTTGTACAGTAAATGACAACATGAGGTGCATTACCATCTTTCCCCACCACCTAGGAAAATACATGAAAGCATCAATTCAAATACTGGAAATCTGCATTGGATTTGTCATTCCCTTTCTTATTATGGGAGTATGTTACTCTCTAACAGCAAGGACTCTCATCAAGATGCCAAACATTAAAAAAGCCCGACCACTCAAAGTTCTGCTCACAGTTGTCTTAGTTTTCATTGTAACTCAGCTGCCCTATAACATTGTCAAGTTATGCCAAGCCATCGACACCATCTTCTTTCTGATCACTGACTGTGACATGAGCAAACGCATGGATGTTGCCATCCAAATCACAGAGAGCATCGCACTCTTTCACAGCTGCCTCAACCCAATCCTGTATGTTTTTATGGGAGCCTCTTTTAAAAATTATATTATGAAAGTTGCCAAGAAATATGGATCCTGGAGAAGACAGAGACAAAATGTAGAGGAGATTCCTTTTGATTCTGAGGGTCCTACAGAGCCAACCAGTTCTTTTACCATTTAAATGTAAAACTGTTCTACCTTTTGCTTGGATACATAAGAATGATGCTTTTCCTTTTGATAAAAAAAAATTGCAGGGAATTTGAAATTCATATCTCAAACACTGTTGCTGCAAAGAAGGAGATGGGGTCATGGTGGAGGTAGAAGCCAAAAAGGAGACAATAAATATACAAAATATGAAAATTAAAATTGATGATATAGGAAATAGTAGTAATAGGCATAAATCAAAGCACTAACAAGAAGATCCTTGTGTGATGGAATGGTTTTTATATCTTGATTATACTATTGGTTACACAAATCTATAATGTTATATATTGAAAAAGATTTCTATATGCATTGTAACAATTTCAACTTCCTGATTTTGATTTTCTACTATAATTATTATTATTGGGTTCATCTATGGGTGAAGGCTACCCAAGATCACTCTGTACTATCTTTGTAACTTCTTGTAGATTTCTAATAATTTCAAAATATAAAAGGTTTAAAAAGAAAAACACACTATACTAGAAGTTTGGAAATCTAAAACTGATTAATAAAAAGGCTTATGTTTAAAAGGCATTTGTAATTATTTTTATTTATCTAAATTTTAACACAAGAACAATTTCCTCACATAACTTTAGTACCTAAATAATTGTGTAGCAAAACAATCTTTTTTGTCGTTGTTGTTTCTTAACTTAAAAGTAATTTTATAAAATTCCAGAAAGAATAACAATTAATAACTGAAACAAACAAAAACAACCAAAATAACTCATAAGATTGTCTAGCCCTTTCATATACTCCTGGTAAATTCTTAAAAACACATGTTTTGCTTCCATAATGTCAACTTTCTTTAGTAATACCTGGTTATCCTAATAAATGTTGGTTTATTGTGTAGGTTTTAGAAGAATCCTCAAATTATAGTCATCTATTTTCCAATTTTTATAACTTCCTAAAGAATTCATTTGTTTATGTGAGTCTGAGAGTTGAGTAACTATATGCATAAAGTTTCTTTATAATGTATAGTTTCTCATTTTTCATTTAAACACTTGTATTTTTAAGCAATAAAAAAATGTACCATAATAAATTTTTATTAGTATTATTGGTTTTTGTGCTAGGGATTGAGCCCAGGGCTTTGTGCATACTACACATGAGTTCTACCACCAAGCTATACTCCCATAATAAATTTTTTTTAATAACATGCACAGATTATCTTTTATAAATTACTTTTTCTCTATCTACTATTTCTAAATTTGAAATGCTTTCAAAGGCAGAATTTAAAGAATTTTGATCATGAAATTAGTATCTGTGAGTCATAGCATTATTATAACACAAAGGACCAATCTTTTGAGTGAAAAAATTATGCGGAACACTCACCACTGCTCCACCATTTCTTGCCATTAATTATATAGCTATCTCCATCTCGCTGGATGCTACAATCAATATTTGTGGCATCACTTGAAGCTACATCAGGCTCTGTAAACAAACAAACATTGGATTTACCAGCAGGCAGATATCATTAGTTTGCAAAAGAGGCTTAGATAAGGGAATGCAAACTCTGAAGAACAGAAGCATCCTTGTGTCTTTCATTTTCCATTCTTCCCCAATTCCACCCTGGTCCTCCCCTCTCCTATACATTGTAGGTACTTAATAAATATGCATTGGAAACCCTGAATGAATGAAGTATTCTATTTCTAAAGCTTGAGACTCAGATTTTTGAGAGAGGGACTGTACATATTCTGTAGCCCCCTGTTAGTGCATTGTAAACACTATATAATTCTGTGGGTGTTAAATAAATGCCTCTTACTCATTTAGGTGAAAATCAGTTTTGTTATTACAAATAGTTATAGAAAACAATAAAATCTGGCCTTTATTGAAAGTACTTAATTATAGACAACTGAAATTCAGTTTAACTCAATCATGAAACAATGTTTTGTCTTTTAAAGTTTTCTTAATTATTGTTTCCTATGTATAAACAGTATAAAAGTATTTTTATTAACATTTTCCTAGTTTTAGTTTCTTGTATGATTATAATTTGAGTCATATGTCCATTTTTCTAGGTTTACAGGAGAATTGAGTATTTTGTATCAATATAAAATTATCACAAAAACAAATATTTCACACATAAGGACAAAAAAATCTTAAATTAGAGAGCAATTTTAGAAATGAAAGTTAAAAGGTTATGAGACTAGATTTACTCTGTTACTAATGCTAAAGCAGGATGCCAAAAAATATCACCCAGTGTTCTCCCAAAGGTGAGGATAATTTTATTCTGCATATTAAAAACTGCAAAATTTAAAAGCAAGCTCAAAACAAACATATTCACATTTCTGGCCTTTGGTAAATTTGACTGAAACACATTCCATGCTTCTTCAACTCACCCATAACAACTCCAGGATGACTGAGGACACAGGGGAGAGTGGAGATTTGCCTTTACCTGTCATACAGAAGGCAGAGGTAATGTCCCCTCGAAGAAGAGGCTCCAGCCACTGCTGCTTCTGTTCCTCACTTCCATAAAGGTGCAGTACCTCCATGTTCCCTGTGTCTACAAATAGGAATAAAAAGCATTTTTTTTACGTTTAAAATTTTACTAGTATGAAATTCACAACTTTATTTAGAAAATATAGGCATGCATCTTTTAAAAGCTAATATTTTCTAACAAAAACATTTGGAAACACACAATAAGTACAATTTGCAATGATGGCATGCCACTGTTGTAAGTATGTGGCATTCAGTGCATATTTATTTAATTTCTTCTGAATCAGACTCTTGCCCAGTTCATCCCAGCAACACATGGCTCCAATAAAGTCTAAATCAAGTAAGACTGAAGAAAACAATTCACTGGAATAGATGGTGCCTGCTACAATTGCAAATCATGTATGCCCTGCAGGGAGTAAATGCAATGTTTCAAGAGAACAATTAACATTACATGTCTGACTGAGGTCCCATTTCTTAAGTCTTCATACTATTCTTCAAACATGCCCTGGGCTTTCTATCTTCCACATGTTTGCTTGGACAAGCTCTTTTCTCTGAAAGTCTATCAGTCATCCATAAATAAATTTCTGCTTATGATCTCTTTTCTCTGAGAGAACCTCCAATTACCCATTCAAAACACCTCTTTCCTCTGAACTCATAGCAATTATTTTTATCTCTAACATCGCTCTACAGAAAAGTACTAAGTCTTCTCTCAAGCATGTGAAAGACAGAATCCCTGCCCTGGTTAAAAAGCAGCAGCAGATAACTTTCTCAATTCTTGGATGATAGTATTTGGTACATGATACACTGTGGTATCTCCCTCAGGCAAAAAAGCAATGCTTCATGTTTTCCATGAATAGAATGCTCTAAGACACCTTTATGGATTTTCACTCCAATCAGATTTCTAAACATACTATGTAAAACATCTCCCTTTTGTGCAAATTACTCAAGATTTTGAAGAACAATTTTTCAGTATCAAGTCTTAGAACAACTTTAAGGATAATTACTTCATTGCCTATGAAAACTAAGTTAAATCTAAGTTAAGTCCTTCTAGATATGTTTGTATTCTGTTCAGATATTCCTCATGTAACCAAGACGCACAAAATTCCTAGTAGATTAATTGAAGCTTCACATTAAATGAGAGAGAAAATTAGTCTTGAGTTACATTAGATGAAACTCATTGTTTGCATTCTTTGCTTGTTTTAAATTCAGTGTTACTTATTATAATTTAACTAAGATAAATATTGACTAAATATTCCAAAATTATCAGTTATTCTGAGAAGCTGGCAAAATTATCATTTATAAATTGGGAAAGTAAGCTCCGTTATTTCTACAAAAAAAATGTTTTCCCATTAAAAAATCATCCCAACAGCCCCCAAATCCAGCAGTAGATTTGGGATTAAAACTGCTATTATACAATATATAATATTGTATGATTTATTTAAGTGTAAATATACAAATTGGAAAAACACATGTTATAATCATGGTATCTGGGAAATGATTTAGGTAACTTAGATAGAAACTGATCTTTTGTAGTTAAGAAAGTTCATAACATATTTAACAGCATCACTTACATTCCCTTCTTCATCTGCTTTGGAAATGCTCTAAAATACAATGTTCAAGGCTTTCATGAAGATATCTCTACCACAAAAGAAAACACCTAGTTTTCTACTTCCAGTTTTATATATCTTACTTGCTGAGTTGCTAATCATTCCTTGATCAAATAACATATATTTTCCTGCCCAATTTGAAAATTTCAACAGTTTTTTGATATCATTTAAATAATACAAGTGATAGACTTATGAAATTTTAATATGAGGAAAAATCCATGACCATCTAGTAACAAGTGAGCTCGCAGGTCAAATGGAAAATAATGGGAGAGCTGCATCTGCAAGAATGTCTCCTAGAGACTTATTTGTCATATTATGGCCATTTGTGTATCATGGAATCAGTCTGATGAAATATGGCTAGCATGCCTTAAAAAATAAAACAGAATACATTAGATTAGATTTAGTGGGAAATATCTGAATGCACTACATGTAGTAATCGAAAGTACTGTTTTATGAAACTTTTGTTTCTTGTAACATGTAGGAATATTTATCCATCCATCCATCCATCTACCCATGCAAATGCTACATATTGGGTCACAATATAATGTATATTTCTTACCATGAATAGCAATAAAAACGTTTCAAGTTAGAAGATCACTAATTAATTTCCCTTTCTACAAACTCATGCTACCTATTGTAGTATATTGTAATAGCTTTATTCAATTGGTATAACTCTTCAGAAACTTTGCCAAAGATTCCTTTTCATTTACAATGTATCATTATTAGATTACAATGCAGTAGAGTGATTTTTGGATCAGTATTTTGAAAAGGGAAATCATCTCAGGGCCAAGCTCTGTCATTATCAGACGTCTATGAACTGTCTTAGTAATGCCAAAAGAGAGAGAGAGAGAGAGAGAGAGAGAGAGAGAGAGAGAGAGAGAGTGAGAGAGAGAGAGAGAGTCTGGAATGAAGCCACTTTGCTAAATCCAGGATATGTTTTCTCCCAGAAGTCAAATATAGTTGCATATATCTCTTTTTTTTTCTTTTTTTCTTTTTTTTTTGGCAGCTTAATACTGCTTTAACTCTTGGGGAAAGCCTTAGCCACAAGGCCATACAATGAGCATGAAACTTGTGTGGGGATACTATCATCCTATTACAAATCAAGTGAAAGTCCTTGACTAATAGCATCAGAATAACCAGAGTAACTGGGGACAGGAGAAGGGGGAGACATTCCATTCCTACTTTAGATATACTAAATTAGAATCTGTAGAGATGGAGCTTGGGTATATGAATTTCCCCAAAGCTTCTTAAGCATTCAGGTCTGAAAATACCTCCAACAGACTACATTCTAGGTTTACCTCTCCTTCCTTCATTTGATTTTTCACAAATATCCTCAGAGGCATCCTTGACTCCTCCATTAACAACCCATATCTAATCAGGAAATCCTCTTGGTTCCCTCTTCAAAATATCCTTAGAATCTTTCCACTCACCACTCCCTCCACAACTACCCTCGTCATCATCTCTCACCAGGATTACTGAAGTAGACTTCCTGCTTCC